CTGTGCTGGGGTGCGGGGGGGGGGGGTTCCAGGTAGTTTTGGGAGCAACGTCCGCCTGTCGGGGAGGGCCAGCTTGGTCCACCTCCCCCGGGCCCAGCTTTCCAGCCCTCGGAGGTGCATTCGGCATCTCAGCATCACTGATTCACTTCCCAACAGCGTGCTGGGGAACATGCCTGCAAGCACGCACGTGCGCGTGCAAATGCTCCCTGCACTAGGGTCCCAATCCTGACCCCAGAGAGGAGCCAAAGTAAAAATCCTGGCTCCATTAGCATCGATAGTACCTCGACGCAATCAGGACTGCACCTCCACTCCCCCTGCTCTGCTACAGCACGGACGGTGCAGCTCACTAAGGCCGTACACCCTCCCCACTGCTCCCCGCAGGGAGGAGATGGCCGGAGAGCACTAGGCCCTGGCACCCCCAGATGACCTCGAGACCACAGCCAGGGAGGTCTCCCTGGGAGCACCACCATGGGGCCAAACCATCTGTAGACACAAGCGGTACCCGCTCCTTCCAGCAGGTCCTAAGAGCCACTGAGCATGGCAGCAATGCCCCTTGCAAAACGACTTGCTGCACAAAAGAACCCTTATGCCCAGTGCCAACCCTGCCCCGGCCCCGGCATGCTGCAATTGGGGCTAATTGGGTTTCCATGCAGCTGGAACCAATTAGCGCTAAATTTAATTTGCAATAGAGCAAGAGGCACAAGAGGTTGTGGCCTGGAAGCGCTCCACCCCCTCGTTGCAAGGTGTGCGTGGGGGTACATGCATGCACCCCAGGTCCCCCCCTCTCATGAGACGGAGCCAGCGCTTTCCCTCAAGGCTCCAAACAGGTCACTGCACCCAGGCCTGAATCACCCCCTTTCCCTGCTCAACAATACTCTGGGTCATGGGATAAGGCTCTTCCCGGCCTGCAGAAAAGCCATGCAGGCGGCTCTACCGCGGGAGGTTGAACACGGGTGACTTAAGTGACCGGCATGGTCTGCCCGTCTCAAGGGGCCACGTCGTTTCACCAAATATCAGCCTCTAGGAGCAGCCCTGCCTTTGTTTGGGTTTGTGTCCACTGCTGTTGGAAGCCTTGAGCTAGTGCCTGGGGTCCGGGCTGATGGACGTCTCGGACCCGACCAGCATCCTCACGCGTCCTCAGGGCTCTGCGCTCGCCATCGTGGAACCATTAATGAAGACAAAAGGCTGTGGTCCACAGTGCCTGGTCCCAAGCAGCAGGCCCAGCTCTCAGGAACATCTAAATTAGCTTTCTAAAAAGCAAATCACCCCACGTCCGTCCTCTGCTGGGCTGCAGCCTGCTCCGCGGGAGCGTCTCCGACACTCCAGGAATATTTATAGCCAACTTTGGGGCTTTCCTGTCTCACTCCACATGAAGCCCTTAAATCTGGTCCTGGTAACGATGCCTTTTCATACAGCCTTGACAGCTGAGTTTCCACACATGGACCTTAACTCACCCACTGCGGATCCTCTGCACAAAGTGCGACGACAAGCACCTGACCGCTGCAAATATGCCAGATGACCGGGCCCCGGATGTCGATTCATCACCTCACCTGATATCCCCCAGTCCCCCTGGAGTCAAATGCAAATCTAGCAAATATTTAATGACGAACGCATTGCAACGCCCCGTCTTTCGGGAAAGCAAAACTCGTCCCCCCGGCGAGCGTCTCCGCAGCCCCAAGAGCCCCGACAAGTCTGCCATTTAGCTAACGACCGGGTCGCACGTTCCTCCCGGAGCCTGGCAGGGTATTTTCACTACCTGCCTGCACCTCTCATTATTAGCCTTCCTCCCATTAGACTAAGCTACTTCGGGTGTCCGCGGAGGTCGCCGAGATTGCAATCTGGAGACTGTAATGAGAATATGTTCTATTTGCATATAATTTCTTCCTCTCGTTATGGGCTTTGTCAGGAGAACGGATTACATTTGCACTGCCATTTGTCAGCGCTCGTCGTACCTGATGCCTTTCGTGAGCTGTCACTTGCAGGGGAATGGGGCCACTTCCCCGCTCTCCCTGCCTTGGTTTGAGGGGCAGCAACCCTGCCGGCACCCCGGGAGAGAGGAAAAGAGGTCGCAAGGAAGCGAGAGACACCGGGTGGGGATCAGGGACAGTGAAGGGAAGCGCGAGTGCTTGAGCAGACTGGTGTGGAAACATGAAGGACGAGGCGCGATTTCTGTGATGACATTTAGCAAGGGGCATTTAATTAGCCCAAGATGAGGCTGTTTCTGAAGGCCTGGCTCGCTGACATTAATGGGCTCCTTTGCAACACCACCTACCCCGCTGACACCAGAGCACATCCGATCAGCCCCACGGCCCGCCCGGAGCCGGGGAAACTCAATTAACTCCAGTCATCATCCGCTCGGGGCCCCTCCGTCTCAGCCAGCACCGTCCAGCCCGTAGGACCATTTGCTAATGTTTAGCTTCTTTATAATCATCACGTGGCCGGGATGTAATAGGTGGTCTTTCAAATCACAGCGCGTCCAGAACAGCAGCAGGCAGCAAGCAATGATGCCTCCCGGAGAAACAGCCCATCCCCGCTCCGACGGATAACCGCAGAGGCTGCCGGCTCCCCACAGAGAGAAATAAAATCCTCCATTTCACGCACGTGACCTGATCAAATTAGTCAGCATGTCGTTTCCTTGGCAGATTAAAAATAAATAAAATCAACTGTTCAAGGACGCGCCGAGCCACACCCACCAGCGAGAATGAGTATCTGCTCAGCCATCGACGGTCCAGGCCCCCATCCTTCATAGACGTTAGGGCTGCAAAGGACCTCGAAGATAATCGCGTCCAGCCCCCCGCCCCAGGGGCAGGAAGTCAGCTGGGGTCAAAGGACCCCAGCAAGATAAGCATCCAAGCGTTTCTTGAATGAGTCCAGGGTAGGTGCCTGCACCACATCCTCGGCCAACGAGAAACACTGGAGAATGGAGCTCAACCAGGACAACATGGGTGCAGACAGAAATGACAATACTCGCCTGATCTGGCCACAGAAAGCAGTTTATAGCCATGACCAAAGACAAGTGCACTTAAAAAAGGACCGATCGGGTGAAAACCTGACCCCTCGTGACAGTTCAAAACACCGCGTCTTATGTAACTTCTGTCTGCGCTGCCTGTTCGCTAAACAACCTGCAAAGGAGCGACACACAGACACACAGCGCTAGGCCAAACGTGCACGTGCTTGGCGTGCAGGAAGGTTTCGGACTGGGCGGGCTCCTCCCCTAACTGATAGCTGTTCACCTGCCCCTTTTGGGAGGCGCCTTCATTCGTTCACACCCTCTGAGAAAGAAGAGAGCCGCATGCCGAGCCGGCCCCTGGGCCCTTACCTTGCTTTCCAGCCCCTCTGTGCTCTGCCTGAGTTCATGCCGTGACTGCTCAGACATTTCTAGCTTTCTTCTCAGCACCGCAAGCTCCTCCTAAAGAAAAAATAGCAAAATGCAGGCTCAGAAGCCGAGTGTCCCGGGCTTATTTATATACTGATCGTTTCCTGTTAAAAACAAGTGGGAAAGACATAATTGCCTTATTAAGAAAATTTACCCGGCACGTTTAAAGGCTGCTCACTGTAAATTGCCGCAACGGTGCTTCCTCCTGCCATTAAGTGGAGGGAGCGTTCGCTTTGGTGTCTGCCTGGGGCACATTTTTGCAGGGAGAAATGAAGCTCAGAAGCCTTGGAGGAGCTCCCAAATGCCTGGATGCTGCTTATCAAATAAATAACCTCCCACACCTGGCCAGAGCTCAGGCAGAAACAGCTCTCTCGTGAGACGCCCTGCTTGCAGGTGGGTTAACCATAAGTGCAAGAGCTTTTCGTGGCAGTGCGCTGGCCCTTTGGCACTGGATGCTGAGCAGAACCAGGGTCCAAGTCGAGAGCATTTGAAATGGGCCAATTTGAGGCATGGTGGAAGCAGGCCCAACTCCCCTGACATTACAGGGAAGAGCCTGGTACCTCAAGGACGAGTCTGGGCCTTTGGTCCTCTCTCCAACGCCGCAAAGATCAAGGCTAGGCAGGCAAGAACCAACTGCTGCACTTGACCTCTCCCTAGCCAAGGTGATTTGTGTGCCAGCAGCCTGGTGCATCCCTGGCCTCTGATATGTTCCTACAGCATGGGCAGGTCCCAGGATACGAGCTGCTTTTGGGATGGGGACCAGAAGGGAGCTTCATGAATAGGAGTCTCGGGAGACATGACTTCCAACCTGACCGGCCCATGGAGCATCTCGCTCCGCCTGCCCGCCCCCACGTTACGCACCTCCTTGGCCCGCAGCTGGTCCTCTGTTACGTGCGTGGTAAGCATGGGCCGAAGGCAACACAGCAGCTGCCACCAGGGCCACTCCTTCACCACCCGGTACGCCGCCAGGTTCTTCTGGATGCACCGCATGGCCAGGCGCTGGATCTGCAAGGAGAGTAGCGATGGTACCAGGTTACCAGCAACCCACTTCCTTCCAGAGAGACAAGATGGCAAGGGCCAAAGCAGGCAGCTGCCCTTCGAACTGTGTGCAACCAGTTTTCACGTGGACCATGCCCGGTGCCAAGAGCACCCTGGCATATTCACGGGAACACCTGCAACGCTATCAGAGAGGAAACCCACCCCGCCTCTCTGCCCCCCGCAGCAACAGCCCTTTGGCAACCCCCCCATCCCGGCTACCTTCAACCTCTTGAACTTCTGACGGGAGAGGAAGCCCTTGCAGGCAGCCTGGAGAAGCACCACCATGGGGGAGATCAGCTTGTCCCGCTGTTTCTCCAGCCTGGAGACCACGCCAGGCTTCAGGAAAACCTAGGAGGGGACAAGGGCAGCACTTGGCCATGTTCAAAGCCAGACAGGCATCGAGCCTCACCCACACCCCCCAACCCTGCCTGCTGGAAGAGCAGAGAGCCCTGTGCCACCGTGCCAGGGGACTGCAGTCATGGCCCCCATGCACCGAGCAAGGACCTGCTCAGACCACGGGCGAGCATTACAGCAACATTGCAGCCGAGCTCGTGTCCCGATGCCACCTTACAGCCTCTCGCCAGACGGGTGCTGTTTGCTGCAGCTTTGCCATGGTTCGCTGAAGCACCCATAAAACCCCCTGACTCCTGCTGTACCCAGACATTACACCCCCATCGCTGTCCAGGGGGGACGAACCTCTCCTGACACCTTGGGCTGCCACAAGTGCATTAGGCACCTACTCCCCACTGAAAGCAGTGGGCATTGGATGCCTAATTACCTTTTAAGACCGGGGCCTAGGAACTTAATGGAATTGAGCGCACCGAGCTGGATGCTCACCCGCTGCTTCGGCTATTTCCTCCTCTCTCTCTCCCTTGCTGATAAGAACATTAATCACTCCTGAAAGCTGCAAACCCTTGAGACCTTTTGCATGGACCATTGGACATTTCCTACTTTCTGCATGAAAGACATTACTGAAAATACCTTTTCAGTACTGTAAGCACCCTGCAATACCACGAGGAGATAGGTCCCGAGGCAGGAGAGGAAGGAACAGAATTAGCCATGTCATTTACTTTCTGCAGGCCCATGATGGACAAGCCAGAAACTGTAGGGATTTTGCAGGGGTGCTTGGATTTAGCCTTCAATTCCTCTTTCAAAACGCAGAGGTCTCTCTCACCTCTTACTCGAGCAAAATGCATACGGCTCAAACCACCGTACATTGCAGTTCCTGTTAATAATAAATTATACCTGTGAACTTTATGCCATTCTTGGAAAGCTGCACGTTTAAAGAACTCCAAATTCTCCTAGGGACCTTTTCCTGGAAAACTGGCTTCCTTGAGAAAATGGTATGATTTCTTTCCCATCTATTTGATTGTTTCATTAATAACTGTCTTAACTTCACAATGGGCTGGGGGGAGGTTAGAGGCTAGTAACAAAAAAAAAATAAATCAATGTTCAAAGTGATGGCAAACCCAACTTCTATATAACAAGACTTGATGAACTGCTATTGCACTATTGATTAAGCGTGAGGGTTGCAGAAGAAGAGAAAATGGCAAATGACTGGATGCAGGATGAAAAAGTTGTTTCTGTACCGAGACTGAGCCCAGGAATTGTCCCTTTCTGCCGAGCGCTGCAGAGGCAGAGGGAAGAAAATTAATCTCTCTTTGCGATTATCAGCTGTAAGTTCAAGTTGTGTTACTGTGGCAACTACTGCATCCAGAAGTGCTCTGCCTAACTGATCTGAAACCCTCCAAAAGCATTTGTTCCCTAACGCCCTTTGATTACAGTGGGGAAGCGAAGAGGGGTGGGCACCGGGGGTCCTTGGAGGATCCGGGCTCTCAAGTATCGTGCCTTGACACTCGATTCATCTAGAGATAGCATCTACAACAGTTAGGAGCCTCAGCGCCACCGACTCCCACGGCGTTTCACCTGCCGGTTCATTCAGACGCTTCTGAAAAATCTCACAAATGGAAGCGAGAAAAACGTCTCTCGCCGTTTCACAACAACAGGACGCAGATCCCACCCTTTGCCTGCTTGCGATATCGCGCTGGAGCGTCGCCACGGCCCTGCCGGGGATGGTTCAGACACGTACCTGGCTGCGACCCACGGCAATGCTTCTCTTTTCCAGATCGAGGGCCTGGAAGAGCTCTTCTATCGCCTGGAGAGAAAGGAGAGCAGATGAAGGAGTCAGACTGGGCTGCTTAGATCTTGGACTAGGGGGACCGGGGTTCAACTTGTGTCCCAACAAGAAAATCAGCAGGGATTAGGCTTGCCAGCTTTACCTTCCCCTGGCATACATAAAGCATCGTCCCATTAGTGCCAGGCTGCACCTGACCTGCCGCACGGTGCTGGGTGCTCGTAATGCCATTCACACTCGATACCCTACTTGGTCCAGGGGCAGTGGGGAGATCCTTTCCAGCATACCCAAAATGCAGGCCTGCTGCATGGCTAAGCAGTGTCCTATTGATTAGTGGGAGATGGCTCAGGTCCTGAGTGATGGGAGACACTGGGACCGTCCCTGTCGGACTACTGTGCATTGAAGACAGCAATAAACCACATTAAAGACCGTCCTCACGGTGAGAGCCTGGAAGTAATGGCTTCAGACACGTCACTCCCTGACCTGAAGAGGGAGGTTGCCGCCAGGTCTCAATTAAGGGCATATTTTACACAATCTTTTATTTTACAACTGAAGCCGTCAGAAAAATAATGGTTAGTTCTCGGGAAAACCAGCACGGTAATCTTACCGTGGCTGGGCACGGGGATGTCGGCCCTTCAGCCATGTCGGGCACGTAAAATGTTGATTCAGATATTCCCAGAGCGCTGCAAACCCCCAGCACGCCTAGCAGGAGACGCGCGCCTGCTCCTTTGTAATTACCTTCCAGCCCCGGCCGTGTCTCAGTGTCACGGACCTGCCACCATACCTGAGGAGCTCTGGAACAGCACGTGTCAAGCCAAACAACATGCAAACAATACAAAACAATACTTTTATTCACAGGATTTTTACTCCGCAAAACTGCTCGAGCGTTCATGCAGAGTGTCCCAGTCTGCGCAGCGTGAAGACCTGGAGCAGAATTTGCAGCACGGCTGGACTTGGTGAACCCAGAAATTGCTTGCAGGCAGCTGTTGCTGTGATTAGGGCTTTGGTTATCACCCTTAGAAACACAGCGGCTGTGTCTGCATGTGCAATTAGTGTGCCTCAATAAGCTCCAGCACACTTCACACTGGAGTTCACTACTCGGGAGGGCAGCAGTTTGAGCTGGGGCAGAGCAGGCCTGGGCTGGCAGCAGGCCCAAGGGGTCAGCCCTGGGCTCTGTGTGGTGGAGGTGCTGGCTGGGGCATGAAGATGCTACAGTGCAGGGGCTAGCTGTCAGGTAGCCCCTGCACCGTAGCACCCTCATGCCCCAGCCCACCCTGGTCACCATCATGTGGCAGCATAAATTACTCCCCCGTGGGATAGCA